AAAAAAAAAAAAAAATCTTGCAAACATTGTGAGTTTTCTAGGATTTTACTGGGATTTGCTCAATTATACAAAAACTACAACTGCCAGTCTTAATAAGCCCTTTTCAGCCTTGGGCTCTCTATGATGCTGCTGCATGACTGTGCCTTATTTTCTTTTTTAGAAGTCATATATACATATATATAGGCATAGTGGCTAAGACATTTAACTGTTAACTAGAGGTCCATTGGTTCAAACCCAACAGGTACACTGCAGGAGGAAGATGAGACTATCTAATTCTATGAAGATTTAAAAGATTTATAGCCTTGAAAACCCAATGGGTGTCACTATGAACCAGATTCATAGAAGTCCTTTTGCCTACTTTGATTTTATTTAAGGTACTGTGTTAAATCATTCTGAAGTCTTAAAAAATGATTTTAGAGTCACAACTTGTAATGAAACTTTGGTGGAAGACTCTTTCTTGATTTGATACTTCTTTGCTGAGAAAGTTATATTTTATAAACCACTGTGTACTGGCTCTTTTATCTATATTATAGTTTTTATCTCTTTAGCTCATCTCTCTACACTTAACATTTTAACATAGGTCATGAAAAGTTAATTTACATTTTAAATATTCTGTCTGGCAATCTTTTAAGTTAATGCATTTTAAAATCACACATAAGCTCAGCCAATCATCCCACAGCAACATTTTGACAAATACTTCCTGATATTTTCTTATATGTTTAATTTGTTCTTCACCCCTATTATCTCATTGGAAATTTATTTCAACACATTATGAGAATTTAGTATCTACATTGTTTTTTCAAAAATGTTATGCTTTTACTGAACAACAAATCCCCATCAAAATGAATAATTTCTATCAGATATAAAAAAATACAAATTACATTATTTCTCTGTAGTAAACCATGTACCATATCGTTGTTGTTGTTGTTATATGCTGTGGAGTCGGACCCGACTCAAAGCGACCCCTCCTTGGGTTTCCGAGGCAATATCACTATGGAAGTAGATTGCCCCATCTTCCTTCCAAGGAGTGCCCAGTATAGCAGTCAGTAACTTAACAAGTCATGCTTATTGCTGAGGCCCCCTTTTCATAGAAAAAATACCACTGCAAGTTATGATAGAGTTATAGTATTATTTTTAATTAGTTTGCCAAGTATAAAATTAATCATATAGAAGCAATGCATAAATCATACCAAAACTTGGTAAAATAAGGGCACAATAACTTGATACAACACAAAAGAAGGAATTAAATGGGATGAGTAAGTCAACTAACCAATATTTTGGAAATACCACCTTTATCCATTTTGGTACTGTCATTCTGACAAATTGTGCTCAGTGTTGATACCACATAAAATGCTTTTTCATCCACCTCACCAAGGACCCCTTGACTTCTTTATTCCTCACAGTGTATATAAGGGGGTTCAAGACAGGTGTGAAGATGGTGTAAAAAGCTGAGACTACCTTATCACGGTTCACTGAATGGTAAGATTTAGGCCTCATGTAGATGAACATGATAGTACTAAAGAAAACTCCCACAACAGCCAGGTGAGAGGAACAGGTTGTAAAGGCTTTCTTCCGGGCAGCAGTTGACTGCATGTGGAGCACTGCAACCAAGATTAGGCTGTAGGAGGCCAAAATGAGGGCCAAAGGAATTAAAAGCATGAGAATGCAACAGGCATACATGAAAAACTCAAACATTTTGGTGTCAGCACAGGCAAGGCGCACTAGTGATGGTGCCTCACAAAAGAAGTGATTGATTTCCCGTGAGTGGCAGTAAGGGAAGCTCAAAGTGGCACTTGCCTGCATTAACCCATCAACCCCTCCCAGGAGCCAGGAACCTGCTGTCATGAGCAAGTAGAGCCTCCGATTCATGAGTATGGCGTAGCGCAATGGGTGACATATGGCCACATAACGGTCATAGGACATAGCCGCTAAGAGGAAGCATTCACCCCCTCCCAGAGTAAGAAATAGGAAGATTTGTGCTCCACAGCCTGTGCGAGAGATAGATCTAGAGTCCACTAGATAGCTGGTTGCCATTTTGGGAACAATGGTGGTGACCAGCATCATGTCCATGAGGGAAAGCTGGCTAAGCAGGAAGTACATGGGTGTGTGGAGTCGTGGCTCAATGTGGATGAGAATGATCATAATGGAATTGGCCATCAGTGAGATGATGAAGATCATGAGCACCATGGCAAAGAGGAATAGGTGCAGTTGTGTGTGGTTAAAGAGCCCTAGAAGAATGAAGTTTGTATCTGCGGTGTCATTTGTATTCTCCATGGTTCTACTGGTACCTGAAAGATGTAAGAATGATAAAGAAATGAGATTTGCTTAAAAGGAAGATTAAGCATATATAAATATTGCAAACATTCTTCAAATATTAATTTATAGTAAAATTCTTTCATGCCAAGCATATACCAAAAACAACCTTCATATCATTAAAATATGTAAATGTAAATCTTTCACAAAAGATGTATACAAAGAAAACTACAAAATGTGATTATAAAAAATTATAAGATCTACATTAATGGAATAACATACAATGTCCATGAATAGAAAGACTGAATATTATGAAAATTTCAAAACTACAAAGAAATATGTAGAGTCAATGCAATCCATAGCTGTTTGTATCAGTATTTTTAAGGAAATGAAAAAAGCAAACACTAATTTTAGATTGAAAGAAGGAGACCTTGGATAAGCAATTTGCTACTGAAGAGGAACAAAGGAGAGGTCTCACAGTCCCTTTTCTCAAACCCACTACACACCCAAGGTTATCTAAATAGCTAGTATTTCACAAAGACATACAACAGTAGAACAGCACTGGGAAAGAAATCCATCAACCTATGAATGGCTGATCTTTGACAAAGATAGAAACCCATTAAATAGAAAAAAGATAGTCTCTTTAACAAATGGTACTGGCAAAACTGTATACCAATTTGCATGCAAATGTCACACAATTCATAGCTCACACCATATACAAAAAATAAGTCATGGTGGATCAATAATCTAAATGTAAAACCTAAAATGGCAAAGTTTCTCAAAGAAGTTATTGGTTCTAATTTATGGCATAATTTGATAACGAAAAATAACAAATATTCACATAAAAAAGAAGATAAACTGGATGACTAGGACCTTCTAAAAATAAAATTCTGTGTGCATCAAAAAAATTAAAAGAAAACTTAAAGATCAAGAAACTACATATGCAACAAGGAAATTATTTCTGAAATATATAGAAAGATTAAACACCTCAACATCAAAAAGACAGAAAGTTCCAGAAATGGACAGAGGAGATAAATAGACATTTTACCAAAGATGACTTTAAGGTGGCCGATAGCCTCATGAAGAAATGCTTGTGATCATTAGCCATTAGAGAGAGGCAAATCAAAGCCACAATGAGATACCATGTCACCCCAGCAGAAAGAGCAAAGTTCAACAAGACAGAAAACAAATTTTGGCAAGGGTGTGCAGAGATAGGAAATCTCATCACCGCTGGTCAGACTATAAAAAGGTACAACCACTATAGAAAATGATATGGCAAATCCTTAAAAAGTTGGAAATTTTGATCTAATAATATCACCACTAGTCACAGACCCTAAGGAAATGAGAGCCAGGACAAGAATAGAGAGATACATGGAAATTTATGTTCATTGCAGAACTGTTCACAATAGCTAAGCGGTGGAAACACCTTCAGTGTCCGTGAATGAATGAATACCAAACTATGGGACATACACACAGTGGAACATATGTAACATTAAGTAATAAAGAAGAATCTGTGAAATACCTTATAATATGGATGAACTTGGAGGACATTATGCCTACTCAAATACATTGATCACAGATGGTGAATATTTTTTGAGTCTATTATTGTAAAAAGTCAAGGAAAGGTTTACATAAGAAAATTTTCTGTGTTGGTTACCAGGAAAGGGAAAGAAGTGGAAGGAATATTGCTAGCTAGGTAAGAGACATGCATTGATCTGGATAAAGGCAAAGACCAAAAGCAAGTGACAGGCACAATATCACCAAGGAAAAGAAAGACATGGAGATGCACACATGAGATACAGATATCAAAGGTAAAATCTATTACTTACGCAATAATGCATTATCAGTAATAACAAATATTAATCTGTGGGTAGAAACATAGGTAAACAGGCAATAAGATCAAGTCTATATGTTGGCAAACTGGAATATATCCATTATCATATACAGGTTCGGCAGATGATATTTCTATATACTTGTTTATATATGCTATAAAAAATGGTCATATATATAACAGAGTGAATGAGGGGCATAGTTAGGGTACTTTCTTATTTGTAACCAAACACCTTGTCTCTCGGCCTATGGGCTTGGGACCATGGTCACAGAGGCCATCAAAATCAATAGGCATAACATAGTATGTAAAAATACTGTTCTATATCCTACTTTGCTTAGTAGTGACCAGGGTCTTAAAAGTTTGTGCATTGCCACACAACTATTAATTATCTCCTTTGGGGAGCAAAGAAGAGTGTAGAAAATCAAATACTCATGGAAAAATGAACATCAAGAAACTAGCGGGCCATGGGAAAATCAGCCTAAAGGACTCTGAGACCACTGCCAACCACTTGGAAAGGGATCAATATTGGATATCCCAGATACAGTGAGAGAAAATGTGGAATAAAACTCTAAATCATAGTAAAAGACTAGGCATATGGTCAGATAGAGTCTGGTGAAACATCCAAGACTATGGTTCCTAGTAACTCTTTGGCTCTGGAATTAAACTCACTCCAATGGCTTAAGTATCAAACAAAAAATATTCAGGCCTACTAGGTAAAAAGGGAGCTCTGGTAGTGTAGTACCTAAGACAATTGACTACTAACCAGATGTCTGGCAGTGCAAATCCACCCGGCACTCCTTGGAAGGAAGGTTGTGCAATCTACTTCCGTAGTGATACTGCCTCAGAAACCCAAGGAGGGGTCGTTATGAATAGGGTCTGACTCCACAGCACATAACAACAACAACACTAGGTAAATACGTACACTAGGAAGGTGCACTCATGAGAACGATGAACTATGAGAGATAAGAAGGGCATCATTTGAGCAGGGAGAAAACTTAAAGGCAAGACTGTATAGGACAAAAGGACACTGGGAAAAAGTAACCACAAAGAGGAAGTGGGCAGAGAGCTAATGCATTGTGAAGATTGCAATCAATATCATGAACCAAAATGTGTATGAATGGAAAATTAATTTGCTGTCTAAATTTTACCCATTTCATGATAAAAAGTTTAAAAAAAAACAAAGGCAGGTGTTTCAGTTGTAAACATTGATACAAACATGCAACACTGTTGCTAGGTGCCATCTTTTAGGTGTCAGCTTTCACTCATTCTAACCTTGTGCTGTTAATCATCCTCACAATCATTTCTGTGCTTGAGCTCATCATCACAGCCACTGTGTCATAGGTTTAGGTGTACCATATTCTTCAAAGTATTTAAAATGATATATTTGTCCTATAGCACTTCAAATAGGTGTTTTGCTGCATATTTGCTCAATCAAATATGTTATGTGATTTTGAACTGCTGTTTTCCTAAGTGGTTATACTGAACCCAAATAAAATGAAATCCCTCACAACTTCAATATTTTCTCTATAATGAATATAGTGTAATACTGATTATTATACACTCATAATTTGTTCACTCATGTGTGTATGTTTGGAGTGTAAAATATATTTGAATGAAATATATAATTATGGCCACATTTTATATAAATATGATGTAGAATGTGGATATAATAACTATGTATGTATGTAGGTATATATATATATATATACACACACACACACACACATACTAAAAAAAAAAAAAAAAAACAGAGCTCTGGTGGCATAGTGCCTAAGGCATTTGACTGCAAAGCAAATGGTTGGTCATTCAAATCCACCATCCACTCCTCAGAAGGAAGGTTGGTATAATTTTGCAAGACCAATGACTTATTCATTGCAAATGTATTTTTTTCAACAACATAAATGGCAATGGATCTCACCAGATGGAATATCAGGAATCAAATTGACTATATCTGTGGAAATAGGTAATGGAGAAGATCATTGTCTTTGACCAAAATAAGGCCAGGAGCTGACTATGGAGCACACTATCAATTGCTCTCATGCAAGTTCAAGTTGAAGCTGAGGACAATTAAAACATGTCCACAGTAGACAAGATATGGCTTTTATTATATTCCTTCTGAAGTTAGAGACCATCTGAGAAATAGATTTGACACATTGGACACCAATGAGCAAGAACCAGACAAGTTGTAGGATGACATCAAGAACATCATCCATGAAGAAAGCAAAAGGTCATAAAAAATACAGGAAAAGAAGAAAAGACCAAAATGGATGTCAGAAGAGACTCTGAAACTTGCCTTTGAATGGAGAGTTGTTACAGCAATTAGAAGAAATGAAAAGATAAAAGAACTAAACAGAAGACTTCAAAGAACAGAGCAAAAAAAAAAAAAAAAAAAACAGCATCAGTTATTATAATGAAATATGAAAAGACCTAGAGTTAGAAAGGCAAAGGTTAGAAGACACTTGGCATTTTTCAACCTGAAAGAATTGAAGAAAAAATTTAAGTCTTGAGTTGCAATATTGATAAATTCTATGGGCAAAATATTGTATGATGTAGGAAATGTCAAAAGAAAATGAATTAGTCAATGTTAATTTATTTCAGGAGATGGCATACTATCAAGAACGAATGACATTGAAGGAAGAAGTCCAAGCTGCACTGGAGGAAATGGTGAAAAGCAAGGGTTCAGGAATTTACTGAATATCCATTGAGATGCTTCAACAAATGTATGCCACACTGGAGCCACTTACTTGTCTATGTCAAGTAATTTTGAAGACAGCTTCCTGGCCAACTGACTAGAAGAAATCCCCATTTGTACCCATTCCAAGGAAAGGTGATTCCACAGAATGTGAGCATTTATGAAACAATAGCATTAATATTACACAAATAAAGTCTTGCTGAAGGTATTTCAAAAACTGTTGCAATAGTAAATTGACAAGGAACTTCCAGAAATTGAAGCTGGATTTAGAAGAGGATATGGGATGAGGGATATCATAGCTGATATCAGATAGATCTTGGCTGAAAGCAAAGGATACCAGAAATATGTTTACTTGTGTTTCATTGACTATGAAAATGCATTCAGCTGTGGATCATAACAAATTATGGATAACATTGAGAAGAATGGGAATTCCAGAACACTTAAGTGTGGTCATGATGTACCTGTACATTGACCAGGAGGCTGTAGTTTTAACAGAAT